TAAAAAATCAGCTATTCAAGTATAGGACGAGGGATGCTTGGCTAAACACTGTATGTGAAAAGGACCAGGGATCTTTATTGGTTTGCAAGCTTAATATGAGTCAGTAGTATGATTTGGCAACCCCAAAAGCTAATGAGATCTTAAACTTAATTAAAAGAAGCATAGTAAGTATAGAAAGAACATTCTGGTTAGACCTAATCTGGAGTATTGCATTCAATTTCAGACTTTCCATTTTAGGAAGAACATATGGAAGCTACAAGATGCCCAGAATTGCAGATAGAAGACAAAGAGTATAAATCTATATGGTCATTAGATGCTACAACTGAGAATGTTTTAACTTATAGAAGACTTACCAGCAATTTTCAAATAGTTGGAGGGCTGGTATGTTAGAGAATAGAATTGCTTTACTTGGTCCCAGAAGTCAGAACTGGGACCAATGGTTAGAAATTATGGTGGGAATTTAATACAAAGGAAAACCTTTTCAATTTGAGCAAAATGGGCGTCTTTATCAAATAGTGAGTTCTCTATCACTGGAGGTCATAGGATACCAGATTACAGGACCATAGATTTAGAGCTTGAAGGGTCTTTAGAGACCATTGAATAGAAATCTTCTGTCTTCCTCCACATAAGAACTTTACAAATGAGGAAATTGAAGCACTGAGAGGTAGAGTGGGTTGCACAGAATCCCAAGATAATAAAAATAATAATAATAAGGTGATTTTCTATTTATTCTTATATAAATACACATTTATATGTTATACATACATGTGTTATGTATATGTATGTATGTATGTGTATCTATCTATTTATCTATATCTAAATATCTGTTACTATGTACCAGACACTATACTAAGTGCATTACAAATATTATCTCATTTGATCCTCACTACAACCTTGGGAGGTAAGTGCTATTATTATTACTATTTTATAGATAAGAAAACTAAGGCTGAGGGTAAGTGACTTGCCCAAGGCCATAGAACTAGTGAGTGTCTAAGGCTGGATTTGAACTCAGGTCTTCCTGACTCTAGGTCCAGAATTCTATCTACTACACCACCTGGTAAACATTGGAAGGAGAGTGTTGAACTCAAGTCTTTTTAACTCCTAGCCCAGTGCTCTATCCACTCAACCAAGCAGCTTCCTTCACTTGGAAATTGGATTATTTGTTGAGGATACTGTCTATAGATGGAACTTGTGTTAGGGATATCTTAAGTGAATTCTAAGAATTTTTTCAGCACTGAAGAGTTATGTATTTAATTTTTTTTAAGTTAGTGCCTGATATGTTTCAGGTCCATTTGATGGTTTTAGAGCCTATACATGTATATACTGCAGTAGTAAGGCTCTGGAAAATCACTTCCTTGAATGAATTTTTTAAAAAAGCATTTATTAAGTGTTTTCAATGTGCCAAGCACTTTATAAAGTGCTAGCTATGCAAATACAAAATCAAGGGAGTCCTTACCCTTAGGGAACTTAAAAGGAAGCAACATTCTGTTGAGGAGCGGTGACCAGGGAGAAATGGTTTAATTTGAGAAGACACCAGGATAGTAAGTAGAGCCCCAGGAAAGCAGAATGACAGAATCTAGTCCCAATGGCAGTGTTGATTGGATTGTTCTGGAGCTGGGAAAGGGAGGAGTGGGATGGGAGAGTGGAGTAGAGGAAGTACCTGGGCAGTACAGGTCAGATGTCAATAAAAGATGGCCAGAGTCCAGAAGCCAGTTAGATAAAGTGGGCCGTGTGACTTACACCATGGGCCCCAGGGCAGGAGTTTCAAAAGTGAAGACTGCAAATTACTAGATACTTTACAGAGAAGTTGTATAATCCTTGTAGATTAAACTATGGACTATTTTCAAAACTAGGTTTCAACATTATTCTGTGACTAGTTTCTGTACATGTATAATAATGGGGCAATGTGGTATTAGAGAATTCATGTGATATTAGTACCTACCTCAATGGGTTTTAATGAAGGTAGAATAGGATAATGTATAGAAAAAACTTTAAAGCCTTGTAAAATTGTGAGGTTTTTTTTTTTAAATCGATATCAGTGTTCTTCTAATCATTTTTGATGGAGTTCAAGCAGCTTAGGAAGTATGGCAGACTGAGCACTAGATCTGGAATCAGGAAGACCTGAATTCAAATCCAGCCTCAGACATTTATTAGTTATATGACTCTAAGCAAGTCATTTTAGCTCTGTCTGCCTAAGTTTTCTCATCTGTAAAATGGAGATAAAAATAGCAACTATTTCCTAGTATTGTTATAAGGATCAAATGAGATGACATTTGTAATGTACCTTAAGGTGCTATACAAATAATAGTTAATTCTACTCGTTAATAAGTAGAAATGGTCTTGAGCCAGGTCTTTATCCTGATTTATCTTTATGGCTAATATTGGGAGAATTATTGTACAAGTGAATAATACGCACACATACACACACATGCATGTGCACACATACACATATGAATTATTGGAATGCAGTCTTATCTTTTGTAGACTTAATGGAAACATCTTTTGGATAATTCTAGTGGTAGGATAATAAGCTTAATGTGTTCTTCTTGTTCCCACATAGTTTCTTTTTCTCCTAGTTCTCCATATGATAATTATTACTTATTATGCCATTCTTCTCATCTCTTTATGAAGGTATATAAAAAATCATCTTGGTATGAGTCACTATCTTGCTATTCCCTTCTGTTTAGCATTCTATGGAGGGTTGCATAGGTGGATAAAATAACTGCGTTTTGTCATTAAGTAAAAGTATTTGGATTCAAGCTCCTCCTTTGAAAACATTCTAGGAATAGCTGTGGTAGCTCAGGGGACAAGAATAAAGTGAACCTACTCATCCTGTTCCCACAAGGTTTTGATCTCTTTTAGGTGTCTATATTTTGAATGTTTTTGATTCCATGTAGGTTGGAAATTTATGTGTATTTGGTATAGTGACATTATGAAAACATTTAAAACTTTTTTTATGAATCATTATGTCTGGGCAATTGTAGGCTATACTTCATTTTATGATAATGGTCTAGTTCCAGTGCAGTTTATTGGTTGGATTCTACAGGATATTTTGGTTCTATATTTGTAGAATGGGGATTTGTCATCTCTCCATTAATGAAAACTTCTAATGTAGAAATCTAACCACCAGTTCATTTTATGTTTGATATTCTATAGATGCTAACTTTTTGTATCCTTCAATGATGTGTTACATATTTTCTACCATGTCCTTGCACGATCTACATTCATCAGTAAATCCAGGCTTCTTAAGGATAACCCTACTCTAATTTCTGGTAGTCCTACCCTGCTCCTGAATATCTCCATCATCATTTTCATCATCACCATCATCATCATTATCATCACCACCAACATGATCATGAATATGATCTTCATCACCTATTTACCCCCTTCAAGTTACTGTGGAAACAGCAAAGTTTGCTCATAGAATTTAGAGCTAGAGGGGAACTGAAGTCCTCTGACTCTTAATCTGGTGCTCTTTCCACCATGCAAATTGCATATAACTTGGAAATTATAACCATTGCTCCCATAATAACGAATTTTAAGAATTTCTAGCCACTCCTAGAATTGTCTTGAGATTTGGGAATGTAGCTCTTTATTGAGTGAGCTCATCAAAAATCTAACTTATCCTTTGTGTTTCACTCTGTTCAAGGAAGAAATTATCTCTGCTGGGGAATCCCACTCATGCTTCAGAGAGCGAGGGCTTGCCAGAACCTGGGCTTCAGTCACTGGTCAATAGAAAGACCTTATTACCAATATTAATGTATTATCTGGAGCTGATAAGATGATCCTGCTTCAGGACTGCAGCTTTGGGCATTTGTTTAATTAATAATAAAAGGCCCTGTCCCATATGACCTTATTAAGATGACGTTTATTAGTGGCCAGAGAGCTCTGAGGGTATAACCAACTGCAGCACATCAGAGTTGTGTTAGATGCAGGAATGATCATCAAAAGACATTTGCCCCAGGGCTCTTTGGAGCTCACAGGGGTCTACGCTAGCCTCCTTCACAGAAATATAAATGGCAACAACATCAAGAACCTGGTTGAGGAAAGGATAAGGACTGGATCTATGATTTCATCAATGTGAGGAGCTATGAACCTGGTTGAGGAAAGGATAAGGACTGGATTTATGATTTCATCAATGTGAGGAGCTATGAACCTGGTTGAGGAAAGGATAAGGACTGGATTTATGATTTCATCAATGTGAGGAGCTATCAGATTAGGATATTCTCTCTGCCTATGTCTTGTCACTTTTTCTGAAACTTATTGTCTCGGACAGCTGCCTAGAGCCCTGAGAGGTAAGTTACTAGCCCAGGGTCACACTGCCACTAAGTATCAGAAGCAGTCTTCCTTACTTTGAGATCTTTGTAATATATCATAGGTTGTACCTATAGAGAACCTTAAGGTTTGCAAAGTATTTTATATATGTTATCGTATTTGACCCTCATAAAAACTCTGGAAGGTAGGTGCTCTTATATCCATTTTATAGGTGAGGAAACTGAGACTCAGAGAGGTTTAATGATTTGTCCAGGGTCACACAGCCATTGTGTATTACAGTTGAGAATTGAACTCAAAACTCTCCAGATTTAAGGCCTACTCTCTATCCACTAGTTGTTGCTACCTGTAATGGGTGTGCCTATGGAAATATTTCTAGAAAGGACGAGGGAGTCAGAAATGAAAAGGGAAGTCAAGTACTCCTGATTCAGAATTAGTCAGTAAACTGAAACCTCATTGTGTTTTGTGCTGAAGAGGCAGCTAGGTGGTATAGTGGATAGAGTTCTGGACCAGGAGTCAGAAAAATTTGACTAGCTTCAGATTTACTACCTATGTGACTTTGGATGAGTCACTTAACCTCCGTCTCATTTTTCTGAACTGTAAAATGAGGATTATAGCAGTACCTACCTCTCAGAGTTGTGAAGATTCATAAGATAATATTTGTACAATACCTGGAACATAATAAATGCTTAATAAACGCTTCTTCCCTTCCCTGATTGTCTCCCTAGAGCTGAAGCACCAGAAGTTGCTTATGATTTAACAGTGACTGACAGTAGAAATCAGACAACCACTGTTAACTTTGTGTATGATACGTTGTCCAACCCATACGGTTGGATGGCCCTGCTTTTGGATCAAGATACCTACTTGCTGAGATTTGAGGCTCCTTGGATTAACATCAATCTTCAGGTAACCCTGGGCAATTATTGATTAGTCAATGCAATCTCTCCCTGAATCTCCCCTCCTAATCATTCTTATAACTGTTTTCTTAGAACTCATCTCACAGTGAGATATGGTTATCTTTTAGATGGAAAAAAAAATTTGAATCACTTCAAATCTCATCTTATCATATTTCTTATACTTGAAAAGTATGTAGTAATTCTAATATACTAGGAAGATATTCTGCCATAAAACTTATCTGAAGAAATGGCTTTATTATTTGCCAGATTAGTAAACCAAATTATTCCCATTAGAAAATAGTTGCAGCCAGATAAATATCATAGGGGTGTATGTCTGTGTTGACACACTGCCATCTTGTGGCCAACACTTAAAATGTAAATAAATATGCTGGGAGTTCCAACACTTAAGTGCGGGATTTTGTTTTTTAAAGGTTGGGTCACTATAGGAAGGTCATTGTTGAGCTCCTTCTCTGCCCTTCAGCTCTTCTATTAATTCCTCTTTCACTATGAGTATTCTCTCTTAGAGGACAAAAAGGAGACTTGCTACTGGAGCCCCCTGGGGACTCAGTCACATTATTCTCTCTCTTTTCCTGAATTTCTGAGGGTTTTATTTCCCTTCATGAATCTTCTCATATCTCCTCAGTATTATTTCTGAGACATGTTGCTATGATTGCCTGAATCTTTTAAGAGTAGGTAATAGGTTGGCAAAATTTTGGTTTACCAATCTGCACACTGGATTCTAGTCCCAGCTGCTCAGTTACTAACTGGCTGAGTGACCTTAGCAAATCTCTGCCTGGCTCAGCCTCAATAATGCAAATGTAATATAAAGGCGTTGAACTTCTGATGTCCCTTTCACTTCTAAATCTATAATCTCTAGTTATGAATGCACCACTTTGAGAATGCTGCTGATGTGATATGATGACGGCTTACCCTTCTTGGTAGCATCCAGTCATTTTCCACAGAAAGAAATTGACACTGATAAGGGCTCAGTGACTTGCCCCAGTCACAATGGTGACTTTGTAGAGCCAGGATTTGAAGGTTGATTCTCTAATTCTGAAGCCCACATTCTCTTTTAAGAGGCATGATTTCCAAATGACGGAAAACCAAGATGTGCTGTCAGTGACCAGTATGACCTGTTTTCCACAGTATTCAGCAACTTTTGATAATTTTACTTCTGGTAATTACCTGCTCATGGTGCATAAAGATGTGCAGCCACATGCTGACATCCTGGTGATGTGTGGGACCAGAGTTGGCCAGTCGCTTCCATCTCCTCCATCTGCCACTTGTGATAAGGCCTGTGATTGGTTCTTCAACAGCCAATTGGGGGAGCTCACTTATCTGGGTAAGTATATGATCAAGAATGTCTGGTGGATGTATACTACTGGATTCTACTAGTTGAGTGTCATTTGACTTTCTTTGCATATAAGTATGTATATTGCTTCTTAATTTGGGGACATGAACATTTGTAAAATAATTGATAGTGAGGAGAAAATATACTTTAAAGTAGAGGTTTCAAACGTGTTACTAGTAGCCCAAACCAAATTAAAATGGAATTGATAAATTCCATAAATTAACAAAATAAATAAAATATAGTAGAACATACATAATGTTAACATATAATTTTCTAAGTCAATATGAAGCCCACAGGAATCCTTATATATGGTTTAGTGGCCCCATTTCTATTTGAGATCGATACCATTACTTTAGAGAACTCTGATATTGATGTACAGAATTGCTGCAATTGAAGAAAATAGGATTTTTTTTTCTCGAAGGGAAAGGATGCACCAGGAATTTTTTGCATACATTCAGACAATGTCAGACTGGTAGAAAACTTCTAAAAGGAAGAATGAGAAATTACTTTAGAGTATTTGAAGGGTATCCAGTGCAGGTGTGTGTGGAGAGAATAGCACTCCAAAGAGAGGTTGATAAATTGGACTGGGAAGAGAGAGTTGGACAGTAAATCAATCAACAGCATTTATTAAGTGCCTACTAATTACCAGATACTCTTGACATTGAGTATATGAGATCAAAACAAAATTGTCTCTGCCTTCAAGAAGCTCACATGCTTTTAGGGGAGACAATAAGCATCAACTAAATACAAATCTATTTGGGAGGTCACTTTAAGCTTCCTGTTTTAAAAAAAGTTGAAATAGGGGAAAGGCTCAGAATAAATAAGTAGGTTATTGGGTAAAAGGGATAAATTGCAAGATGGGTGGACATGCAGTTCAAGACTCGATGTGTGTGTGCAGGGAAGGAAATGTTGTTCATCCCTTCATTTTTGAAGAGAACCGGTGAAATCAGAGAGCAATGTCTTGACTTCTCAGTGAATTGGATTTAAGTGAGGCAGAGTTACACAAAGTCATCAGCCTCTTTATCTCTTCCAGAGTCATCAAAGTCTAGTGGCAGGACATAAGTGAAGGTGGCAGGGAAGGAAATAGGGTCTAGAAGCTTGCTGTTCCTAAATTTGCCTAAGGACACTTACAGACCTAAAGTAGACAATGCCCCTCTTCTGTCTTCTGAGTAGCTTTGCCTATAGTAGGCACTTAATAAATTTGTTGAATTGGGTTGAATTGAACTGAGGAGGCAGGAGGGTTTGAACCTCTTGCAAATACATCAATTTCTATGCACTTTATTGTGATTTAGAGGACTCACAGTACATTAAGATCAGAGTTTCTAAAATTTTGGGGAAAATATCTAAGGCTTTTCCCATCTGACTGGTACTCTAGTGGTGATAGGGAATTATGATATAACTGATACTCAGAAACAGGCCCAAAGAGGGGCAAATTCCACTTCTCCACATTTTATTTTGAGTTTATATTTAAGCTTAAAGAGGTAGCGTTAGCTAGTGGTTGGAAATTTGGTTTCAGCCAGGAGGACACAAGTTCAAGATCCTCTTCTAACACGTCAATCAATCTTCATTGTGAATTTATTAAGTGCTTACTACTTGTCAGATGTGCTAAGCACTGATGATTTTTAGAAAATGGCAAAAATCATCCTTGCTCTCAAGGAGCTCACATTCTAATAGGGGAGATAAAATGCAAATAAATGGGTAGGGGAAGGTACTAGCAGCTTGACCAAGAGGGAAAGGCCTCTTTCAAAAGGTGGCATTTGACTTGAGTTTTGAAGTTAGCTAAGGCTTGTGTGACCTTGGGAAAGCCATTTAATGTCTCAGTGCCCCCAGGGAATTTTTTGAGAAGTTGCTCATTTGTCTAGGTAAAAGGAATTTCTTTACTGAGAAGCTCCATATACCAATGAACTTACAAGTGTGTTAAAACAATTCAGTTCAATTCAATAAACATTTATTAAGTATCTACTACATGCCAGGCACTGTGCTAAGCACTGGGGCCAAAAAAAGAGGCAAAAGACAGTCTCTGCTCTTATGGAGCTTATAATCTAATAACAACAACAAAGAGAAAACCTACCCCCTGCAGTGCCTAATTTCTTTGAAATCCTGGAACTTTCTAGATGACATAGAACTGACTAGTTAAAATATACAGAATTCCTTCCATTTTGGAAAGGAGTCACTGTCAGGACCTCATGGTCTCAATGTGCCATCGATGTGAAGATTCATGCCCATGTTTTAGAAGGTAAAGTTTGAAATTGGCCAACTCTGAAAAGCTTCCAGAATTCCCTTCAGATTACTTTATAGGGTCCTGAAAATAATATTTTGACCAGTTAAGTGTCTTTGGAAAGTCATTTATCTCACTAAATTTGCTTTGACTCCACTCTCTTTTCCTTCATTAAGCCTTGTCCCTTCTTATTATCTGCTTATCCCTCTGCCGCTTGTTATATTAGGAAGTTAAAGAAACAAGTATGGGATTCAGGGTAGTGGGGATGTTCAAAGTTAAGTCACAAACATGGATTCCTATGAAAATTAAGCCAAGGTGGAGTAGAAAGGAGAACCAGTGGATACATAACCGTATGTGGTTTTTATTAGGCCTGCTACTTGATTTCCTCTCTCCCCATCTTTGTTTAGATGTAAGGCTTGCATGTGTTTGTATTAATGATTGACATCACATGCAGAGGTGCCCATTTAAAATGCTTTTTAATTTACTCTGGTGGTTACATGTCTTGTATCATAGATTTAGACCTCGGAAAACCCATAGAGGTCACCTAGTTCAATTCACCTATTTTACAAACAAGGAAACTGAAGTGCAGAGCCAGTAAATGACTTGAACAATTAGCCAGTAACAGTGAACAGGGCTGGGATTTGAAAACAGGTTCACTGATTCACAATTCTGCATTTTTTTTTCACTCCTGGGAGACCAATTTTGGGACAGTGGGTTGCCTCATTGTTTTGGTTCATCCATAGGCTTTGTTTTCATTTTATACTTACAAGGTAGGAATTGAAGAACACCACCATTTTCAGTTCTGTCCACTGAATTGTTAACTACTTGTCTAATGTCACTCTGAATGTGGTGTTGGCTAGAAGAACCCAGGCGTTCCAGCTTGTAAGCCACTACTTATCTCCACTAGAGTGTGCTGCCTACTAGATAATTGTTGGAATTCAACCACTTTGCTGAGGTGGGATGGGGGTTGGCTGGGTGGAGAGCTGCCCTTACCCCATCCATCACCGGAGGCAGGGTTTTAGTAAGCTCAATGCCTCAGTCAAGCATTTTGTTGGCTTCCCCCTCCCCCCACCTCAGGGACAGCTTTTGGCTTCCTTCTAGTTGAGAGCAGGCTTCTCCTTTGTGATTTTCTTTTATCTCTTAAGGGAAAACCCTTTTTAATTTCTCCCTCCCCCTCAGTTTCTTCATCTGTAAAATGGGGTTGAAGATATTTATCTCAGGATATGGTGGTTCATGATACTTTAAACCAGCTATGGCTGACTTACCTTTCTGCAAATTTGTTGTTGAGTGAGGTTGCTTTAATTGAACTCATTACAAATCCCTTTTATTTGTCCAGAGGATCAGAAATATCATGAGATTCAAACCAAGCATACACCCAGCAAGCATTTCTGAAAGGATAGCATTATATCTTTTTTAGAACTTACAACTAAGACCAACAGAGGGGCATGTGACAGAGTGTCTATGACGTGTGTTTTCTCAACTGGAGACTGCTATCCTCTCAGTGATTAGTTTCAATAGAATAATATGGCTAATTTAACAAATACAGAGTTCTTTGAAGGCTGGAGGCTTTATTCAGATTGTCCTAAATCCATTGAGAATTCTGAGGAAGCAAGGACTCAGGATCATAGACCTAGAATAAGAAGAGACCTCAGAGTTCATCTAGTTCAATCCTCTTATTTTATAGGTGAATGAATGAATGAATTAGTGAATGAATGAATGAAAATGTAATAAGCCTTTACTATGTGCCAAACTTTGTACCTTTAAGTATAGAAGATACAAAAAAAATCTAGAGCAGAGACAGTCCCTGTCCTCAAAGAGCTTACTTTCAGATGATGAAATTGAGGGGGAGAGAAGTTAAGTGACTTGCCCAACGTCATACAAGTAATAAGTAGCAGAAGGATTTATGAGACTAGACCTGAAATTAAGCTGCCTGGGTATAAGCACGCCCATTATGATACCCTTTGGTAGAACCTAGAAATAATTTTGTTTCATAGTTTTATAGCTGTAAACCTGAAAGTGATGTCAGAAGTCATCTTCTCCAGATCTCCCATTTTATGGACAAGGAAACTGAGGCTAGAGAAGTAGAATGTCACACATTTGTCTGATCAGTAATTTTGAACTGTTACTTCTATATCATGCTGAGAAGCAAATATGATCTAGGAATAATGATTCCTTTATGTTTGCAAAAGTCTGGACTAAAACCAAGAAAGGCTATTTGTCCTTTTATGGCCCAATGTTTTGGTTCCACTTTGAGCCCAGAGAATATCCCTGTCACATAGAGTCTTCTGTTTATAGCTGTTGCTTTTCCTCCTGTTTCTTCAGTTTGTGAGGAACTACTTTTTAAAAATTTTTTTAGTTACATTAATGCTCTGAAATAATTAGTCAACTAATTAATCCAGTTTACAAGCTTTGTAGGATTCTTCAGCTGTCAGTCAGACCTAGGCCTGAGGCCTACATTTAGTCTCAGCTCCCTTACCCATGTGACTGGTTGCTATGACTACCGGCTACATCTGCTGACACCCCACTCTCTATTTATTGCTTAATTAAGAATTTCACGCTCAGTCCTTATCTGCCTCTAAGAACAAGCACACACTGTTAAGAAATTCCAAATTTAGTCCCATGGACAAGGCAAGTCTTTCTTGTAGGCCTAGCTGTATGGAGCCGTTCTAACTACCCTCTTGGCATCCAAGCCGCCACCCTTCAATCAAAAATCATTAAATGGGGCAGAGATAATGAGCATGCAGCATATCAAAAGAAGGATGTTTGCTTGGTC